TGGAAAGGTACATGTGATGTTAGTTAATGAATCTATTCTGAAGTCTCCAAGAAAACCCAGTTAGTACTGGGTTAAACCCTGTGATTAAGGCTTCATGCATGTCGTTTGTGGGGAAAATTTCACTTGGGCTGAAATATGGTCAAAAGGCCAAGGACCAATATTTTTGTTCATTTTTCTGTCACAATATCATATTTAATAAATATCTATTTATACCCTGCTCACTCAAAACACGTATCAAGTAGCATGTGCAAATATGTATAACAACATAAGTAAATGAGAATATCTGGGTTAAAAGTAGGAAAAATAAGATGTAACTGGAATTAGGTTGTGTACACTTGCTGGGGGTGGTCCGAAGATTTGGCTCCAAACATCCCAGCAGCCAGTGCAAAGAAGAAACAAAATAAATATCATGATTCACGGTGTCTAATATAAAAGGAAGCTGGCTTCTCACAGAAGAACAACTATTGTTCTACTAACACCTGAGAGAAATTTCTTTCTTGTGTTCCTATAAAATGATGTCTTGAACAGTGACCTCAACAATGTCCCTAAAGCAAATACATTTGAGTTTTGTGTGCTAGGTCCTATTGTGTCACTCAGTATAGCCCTATGATTTCCCCTTTGTGTGAGTAAAAATAACACTGGTGAGAAAAAGACCTGGTAAACACCCTTGAAGGGATGTTGGAATCTGAGTGTTGAGGGCAAACCATGCTGGAAGTCCTTACACTACAGTTGTAGTTTCTGAAAGATTTGCAGAAATACTCCGGGGACCCAGCTTGATATCTAAGTTAAGGTTAATGACAGTGGCAGTCCTGGGAAAAGTGGAGGTGTTACTCTTCGTGCTGGAACCATCAAAGCCATCTCTGGGCCAGTGCTACAGCTTTAGTTCCTGCTGTAGATTGTATGTCACCCCCCCCCCACCAACCTCACTGAAGCTTAAATCTCCACTGTAACTGTTGAGGGTGGGAAATCCTATCGTGTAATTGAAAGGTGGGGCCTTCAAGAGGTGATCAGATTGTAGGAATGAATGAATAGTGAATGGCTTAATAATGGTGGTTGTGGGCATGGTTCCGAGGGCTTTAAAAGGAGGCACATGAGAATTTCTCTCTCTCTGCTCTGCCGTTTTCTGCCATGTGAGACCCCTGGGTCACTGTCACCACCACCAAGACATTCACCGTAACTGTTCCCTGAACTGTTGGACTTCCCAGCCTCAGAAACTGTAAGCAATAAATTTTATTTTCTTATAGATTAAACAGTTCTAGGTATTTTGTTGTAAGCAACAGAAGCAGACTAACACAGTACCCATGAAAATCATTTATTTAAACTTCACATTTCTAGGACCTAGAGATG